TTACTTGGTATTTTTTGTAATGATTCTTTCCAATGTGTAAATAAAAAATGATTTTTTTTTGTTGGTTTACTTTAGTATTCCTGTGTTTAACATATCTGTGTGCTTCATATTTTTTATTAATATAACTTTAATAATGTTGGTATTAACGCCATTAAATGATAAAATAATCAATGTAATAAATATTAAATTGATTATACTATCGCACTATATATTTAACATAAAAAGATTAAAACAAAATACTAGTTTAATATTAATGATTCCAGTAGAACTACTGCAGTATTTTGTTTAGCATTAATATACCAAATGAGATAAGTGGTGGTTGATCTAAATATTATAACTAAACTTACTTAAATATATTTAAGGCATAAGTAGACCCAGTAACATCTTTTTTATAACATGGTAGGCCGATTATACTGAAAGCTCGCAGGCAAAAACATTTCTAGGTGGTTATTTTCTGTTACAATTTTGCGCAAATATATTAATAAATTTATTTTTAACACATCAAAAATTGTTGGAGGCATTTATCTAAACACTATTTTTTGGCGTTTGGTCGATGCATAACGGCGCACTTAGTATAATACTAGGTAGAATGATTTGATTATTATTCATTATCATTCTTCTTTTTTCATATTACGTTTATTCTTTTAAAATTTTTATTTATTATTACGTGTTGCATATTTTTAAAAATTTTTTTAAATATTTCAGTTATGACGTGAATACTGTTATTCTATAAAATAAAATGCAGATAATTTTATTACTTAATAATTATTTTTATTGCAACCTATTCTGGGTTCGTTAGTGCGATTTATTTTAGCATTTCATTCAGGAAATCATGTGTGATGCATAACAATGGAATTTGTAATTATTCAGTAAACTTGGCATACATGTACCCTATAAATGTTATTTTTATCATCAGTTTATTGTTCCGAAAAGTAAGCAATGAAAAATATTACGAACAGAGTCGTCAAATATTTTCGTCGATAATAAAAATATGATATTCTATACACTGCCTAAAGTTCATAAACCCACTATTTCAATAAGACCTATTGTATCTTTCATTGATGCTCCTGATAGTAAACTTGCTAAACACCTTACAGATATTCTCACAAGTTCCTACAACGAATCTATTAAATTCTATATTAGATATTCTTTCACATTTAGTAACTTCATTAGCAATGTTAAAGTTCCAAATAATTATATATTGATTAGTTTAGATGTTTTGTCACTGTTTACAAACTTACCACTAGATGCTATTCTTAACAGCATTAAAAATAACTGGAACAATATCTCTCTGCATACTACGATCAGTTTAGATTATTTCATAAGAATGTTAACATTTATATTTGACTCTTACATTTTTTTGTTCAATGGTATTTTTTTTAACAAATTTTTGGCACTCCAATGGGCAGCAAAATATCCCACATACTATGTAACTTTGTTTTGGATGAACTTATAACAACGTGTAAAGAAAAGATACCTTTTCACATACGTTTTAATAAACGTTATGTAGATGATTTGATTTTATCGGTCCCTGAAAACAAGGTAACTGATGTTTTAAACACTTTTAACGCCCAATGTGAATACCTAAAGTTTACGGTTGTGATAGAGGCTAACAATATGATTCCTTTTTTGGACATGCTAATCCATCGTGGCAATGATGGCATGCTAAAGACGGAATGGTATCGTAAACCTTGTTTCAGTAATCGTTTCATAAACTTTTATTCTCAACGTCCATCTAAGATGAAAACAAATTTGGTTTTGGCTCTAAAAACTAGGGTTATTAACTTGTCACACATCGAATTCAGGTACAAGGGACTAAAAAAGATGAGATCTATACTACAAGAGAATTCTTATCCCATAGGGCTGTTAAATAAACTCATTTTTAGTTCTCCTTTTCCTTCACAAGTTTCTGTTAACCAAAATTTTCATAAAAATGAGATCCGACAATTGGCATTAATACACAACGCATCAATATTACCATCTAAAATATCTTATGGTTGCCTACCCTACATTCCAGTTCTGACACCTAAGCTAATGAACATCTTTAAAAATGTTTGTGGCTTAAAAATTACAACCAAAAATGTGAAAACGGTATCGAAGCTTTACACAAAACAAAAGATCCTTTTACAATACAGGAGTCATCGGATATTGTTTATTTTATACCGTGTACTAATTGTAATAAAATTTACGTAGGAGAATCATCTCGTAATTTTCACAGTCGGGTGATATCACATCGTAGTGACATAAAAAACAAAAAAATCAATGCATGTGCATTGACAGAACATGCGCTAACTCTAAAACATGAATTTAATTTCGATGATTCCTGTATTTTGGCAAAAGAAAAGAACCATTCAAAAAGTGTTTTTTTTTTTGGAAATGTGTTTCATAAAATCTAGCACATCAACAGTTCTATCGCGCACTAATTCTGGGCACCAAACTGTTCCGCAGTACTCTAGCAGGGGTCGGCCATAAGTTTTATACAAACAAATACAACCCGAAAAGGATATTTTTGTAAAAGTCTTATAAAGTAGGTATAATTTCCTATTCACTTTTAAGGTTGTTTAAAATATGTTCCGACCAAATTAAATTTTCATTAATTGTAATATCAAGGTCACAATATGATCCCACTGTCCAGCTCGTCTATCGAATAAGACAAACGCGAGTTATTTTTTTCCAAATGTAAAACTACACACTTATCTCTATTTAGAGGTAACATCCGATCTGAACACCACTTGAAGATCGAATCTAAGTCTTGTCCATTCAAAAGTGGGTCAGTAAATCTTTTTGTATCGTCTGCTTAGAAAGCTTTTCTAGATATGATATAAGAATCAGGATTACTAGAATACCACACAATTGTAGTGGACCCAAAATAGATCCTTGTGACACACCACTTAAAACTGGTTTTTTAGATGACAGCGATTTGCCAACTCTAACAGAAAGCTTCCGATTTGTTAAAATAACATTAATCCACTCAAGAAGTTGTACGCGAATGCCAAAGTGTTCTAGTTTATACATCAATTTTCTTCTTGGTACCCGATCAAATGCTTTTGCTAAAATAAAAGTCTAAATGTATAACATCTATAGGTCGTTTTTTATCTAATGCTGCTATCCATTCAGTAACACACCACAGTAAATTAGTCATGGTTGATCGACTTTTCACAAATTCATGTTGTTGTAGAGGAATAATTTTCTCTCGACGCAAAAATTGTAAAAGAGACTCTGTAATAATTGATTCCATAACTTTACAAATAACAGGTTTAAGGCATATTTATCTGTAATTATTGGGATCTAACTTATTTCCTTTTTTAAATATAGGTGTCACCGAGGCAATCTCCCAAATTCGAGGCAAAAAGTGTGCATTAAAAGATGAACGCATTATTAGTGAAAGTGAAATAGAGAGGACATCTGAACATGTTTTCAAAAATAATGTAGAAATTTTATCGCACCCTGGAGATAAGTTGTTTTTTAATTTGTCGATATGACACTTGATAGTTTCAGGTGAAAAATCGATGTAATCAATTTTGGGAATAACCCCTGCATGACTGATTATGGGAAACTGATTTTTCAGTTCAATAGCAAAGACTTTAGAAAATGCATCGCAAGAATATTAGCGACCTCATACTTATTTTGACAAATTGTTTCATCGTTTTTTTTTTAACAATAGAATGGATACTTTAGAAGACATAGCAGACCTAACATATTTATACAGTTTTTTAGAGTCGTTGCAAGTTACAATAGATTCTTCATATGTCATTCTGGCTTCATTGATATACTTTTTCAGTATTACTGTGTAATTTTTGTAAGTTTGTAAATCACGTGTATCACCTGTACGTTTAAATTTTTACCATAATTTTTTTTGTGTCTTAGTGATATCAATGCACAGTTAATCTACGGCTTAAGTTTGTTTCTATAGTAAGTTTTTCTTGTGGTATTGCGTCTTTTGTAATTGTCAATACTGCCTATAAAATAATTTCAAACTTCTTTCGGTTGTTCTAGACTTACCACTAGTAATGGCCTATTAAGATCACGCCATTGGAAAGACAGGTTTTCAAAATTTGTTATTTTATGTATAACTGTATTTTTACCAAGATGATTATATTCAGCAATAAACTGTATGTCTGTTGTGATTACATGATCAGAATTGTCCACAGGAGTGCATATCACCGATTCTGTAAGCAATTGGTCATCATTTGTAAAAGCCAAATCTAACGTTGATGGCAAATTGTTTGTTTTGAGACGAGTTGGATTCATAATCAATTGGTGTAGATTAGAACTTTGAACAAAGTTTATAAATATGATTCTCGCATTTGTTAGGTGATTGATTACAACTGGAAAAGACCAAGAGATATCAGGAAAATTGAAGTCACCAAATAAAACAAGGTTTTTAAGATTTGAAAGGAGTTACATTTTTTCGATCAAGATTTGGTCATATTTCAGGACAGTGCTACCTGGACGATATAGGCACGCCAAATGAATAAGAAGTGAATTAAGAGAAATTTTTAAAAATAAAAATTTAATGTTAGGATCAACAATATCCAGATAAGCAAACAGAAAAAGTTTCAGAAATTTCTGAAGACAGTTATATGCACATTCCTCCCATTCTTCGACTGCTGCGATCAAATCTGTAAATAGAGTATCCATCTATAGTACATAAATTGTCAGAATCATTTTGTGTTAGCCAGGTTTCGATTAATAGTATTATTTTAGGTTAAAGTAAATCTTATACCATCGACAATGCGTTGTTTCAATTTATAATTTTTAAATATTTAGTGTCTAGTCCGAACATATCAACTGTTTTGTATTGAGGTTATTTAACAAGTATTTTTAAGTTCCCCAAAGATGATCTGATAAGACCAAAAAAGTTCATTCTGAACAATTGCAATTCAGTTTTATTTTTAACTTTAATGTTAACCGCAACATACTAAATATTATAATAACCTCTATGAGTTTATTAAGCTGACTATACTAAAACTTTAGCTTAATTGATTTTAATGTTTTAGGTCGCCCAAAACCCACTTTAACTTGGTGGTACAATGGTACAATTTTGGACAGTGTGATAGACTCAAGTCGTGAGTCGTTTACGACTGTCAATCAACTTGTGATAGCCTCTACTCCGAGGTACCTTAAAGGAGCTCACTTTGAGTGTCGAGCTTCTTCTTCAGAGACTGCTGGATATATTTCCAGAGAAATACCGGTAACAGTATTTTGTAAGTATGTGTTTATAATTTTTATAATATATTTCAAAAATAATTAATTTCATTACATATATGACTGTGTATTTAATTAATACGAGAGTGTATTGAAAAATTTTTGGCCTACTATACAAGCAAACAAACTTTGAAAGTCTAACTATTTTATCATTTAACACCTATAGTCCATTTCCATCATATTGATAGCACAATATGTATGCAAATCCCTAAACTGTTGATACGGGTGACTCAATGAAAAATAGATATTTGTCAACAAGTTTACAGAAGTTTATAGGAAAACAATTTTAAATTGAGTATGACCACCAGGTATAAAGGTTGAATCAGAATAGAATACAATAGTTTGTATATGTACAATAGAGAGTTGCTAATCTCTAAATAAAATTGCCCAGTGTCAGAGTGATGGAGATTAACAGGTACTAATGAATTTGCAAGAAATGTAAGATGTTTATTTTATTAAAATCCACAAGGAAAAACCATTCCTGTAGCTGGCACGTATCACTAAAATGAGGTTAGTTTTCGTAAAAGGGTATATTTATTTAAAAACCCTTAAAAGGGCTACATAAAAAAACAAACATTTTCGGACTAAACAGTCCATCATCAGGTTTAAAATTGCTAGGTTAAAATGCCTGAGCCACCAAAATACCAGGGTAAAAACCCTTTAAATTACATGTAGTTGTAAATGATTGTACATATTGTTGTTATAAAACTGTAATGTTAAATATTAAATTAAATTTGACTTCAGGTAACATGCTTGAAGTGAGTTCCAGTGTCCGGAGAGTAAACCTCTTCAAACGAACTACAGCTGGTAACTGTAACCTGGTAATTTTAGCTGGTAATTTTAAACCTGATGATGGACTGTTTAGTCCGAAAACGTTTGTTTTTTTAATGTAGCCCTTTTAAGGGTTTTTAAATAAATATATTCATTTACGAAGACTAACCTTTTTTTGTTTATTTTATTGGTTAGATATAAAATAATTTGTGGCCGTAACAGGGGCTGATTTGTAAATAAATGAATATTATTGTAATCAAATTCCATTTCAGATTCACTGCTTTCTTCAGAATCTAAGGAATCTTCAACTCCAATGTTAATTATTACCGGTTCTAGCATTGCATCAGTCATATTATCCAAATTCCACATTTTGTTTTCTTCCTTGTGAGCATGATTAACAGGATTTTTCCAATTTTCTGGAGTTATTCTTGATAAGGAATGTTCTAATAATTGTTGTAAGTGTTCTAATTTAAAAGTTTTCTTGTTGCGTCCGACTTCACCCTTTACTTGAGACCATATAATTTTCTATCGGATTCATATCACAGTGGTATGTTGATAAACCTAAAATAATTACATCACGGTTTAATGCCATTTCATCAATTATATATTTTTTATAAGCTGCTTTATGTTGCCTTACAATAGATAATACTTCCTTTTTTGTCGAATTCTCCTTGTACTCAATTGCGTGTTTATCCAACCATTCGATTATTTCTCCTTTTTTCCATGCCGTTGTTGGCAATTTTTCTGCTAGTGTTGAATGGTAACTAGCATTATCCATGACTATGACAGAATTTTTTGGAATTAAATCCAATATTTTCTCAAAATATTATTCAAAAACGTCAGCAGTCATTTCCTCGTGGTAATCTTTAGTTGATTTTGAGGCAAAACTTAATAATCCACCATTGACAAAACCGTATTCGTTTCCAATATGGGTTATTATGAGTCTACGTCCTTTTCCAACGATAATATTGTTTATTTCAGTTGATACACCTTCGATGAATGCCTGACGGGAACTTTTCACATTTGTATCAACCCATAGATATGGTACAGTATGACATTCATTCAGCCAAGTCTCGTCCAAATAAAAAATTGTTTTCCCTTCTTCTGGGTACTTTTTAATAGTTCTTAGATAATCTCGTCTCCAACATACAATGTTTTCTTTTTCAATTAAAACGGATTTTCTTCTATTCTTTTGCTAACAAAATCCCATCTCTCTTAATAGTCCCCATAATTTAATGTTGCTTATGATTGGTAACTCTTCGTTTTCTCTAATTAATGTTTAGATTTTGTCCAATCTTGGAAATTCTTTGTTACAAAAAATGAGTGGACGCTGCGTCTTATCATGTTTTTATGTCTTTCTTCAATTTCCAAGTTTCCTCCCTCCACTCTTCTTGGGAGATGAAACAGTTCCGCCTTTTCTTTCTTTTAGAAATCTACAAATTGTTGCTTCTCCAACCCCTGTCACATTTAAACGCATGTTAATGATTTCACGAACATTAATTAAAAGGCGTTGATGTACAAGTGCATCGTAAACATTTAATATTATATTTTTCTCTCTTAGACTGAAGGCACCTTTAAAACTACACTTAACCGGGATAAAACCTGTTGTCAACGTCATTTTTAAATGCAAATAACAAAATATCGACACCAAAAACGTAGGTAGGTAGGTAAGACATGAACAATGTACATGTACAAACTAAATGGAAGATGCAAACAATTTCTAATTTATATTATTGGCATAAGCTGTAATGTGGCATAACAACTACTTAAACTATCATTGGTGAAACCTTATCAGTAATTCTAGGTAATCGTTCAAAGAAGGTATTCTTTTTGTGTCAGGCTATAACTTGTATAAAAAACAATAATAACCTTTAAATTACTGTTTACATTAATTTATTTCGTGAAACATTGAATTCTGTCGTTAATCACTCGTGTGTAATTAACAATAATCGTGTGGCATATATGCCGACGTCTTTTACACACAAAAAGGGTATAGTGAGATTCAGTCAGTCATTCTGATTCAATCATTTTGCCATTGTGATGGTGTTGTTCCTCTTTCAAGGCATTCTGTGAAAAGTATGGAAAGCATTTGTATCAGTTTCTCGCCTCCTAATTTTATGGCTTCGGCAACGACCCCGTCGTCGCCAGGTGACTTATTATTAATTGGTGAATAGTGAGATTAGTGGACATTTATTTTACAAAGGATTTTTTAAAAGATAATGAATTGTTGACGGCATCTTAAAATATTAATTTTTTTTATTTATTTGAAAACAAGTATAGTGTGACGCCTATGGTTTTTTGACCTGTTGAGGATTTGCATACATAATGTGCTATCAATATGATGGAAAAGGAGTTTAATTTAATTTTTTTTCTTAAGTTAATTCATTGATTACAACTAATCTACAACACCTCTAGATTTAAAAAACTATATAGTATTCTACTCTTAAATTCAGGCCTTCTACATCGTCTATCACCCTATAGCTTTTTTTGTTTAACCCTAGAGTACTAACGTAAGTAAATTTTACGTACCGATTTTAATCTGATAGTTACTGAAAGAAACCTTAACTTAAGACTTCTGAGGTGCTACGTGTTCTCTGTATTATTTTATGGGTTAAAGCTTGGACTTTAACGAAAGATGTTTCGGACAGATTGAAAGCCTTCGAGTTATGGGCCTACAGAAGGATATTAAGAATAAGTTGGGTAGATAGAGTTACGAATGTCGAGGTGTTGAGAGCTTGGTTTAACTGCACTTCTGCTGATCTCCTTAGAGCAGCGCTTTTCGCAATAGCTTTTTTTTTCGTATAGTGATCAGTAACATTGAATAGGAATTTAAAGTTATTTTGCTATACTCATTAAAAAATCGATCATAATTACTACTTTGCAATTCCAAAAAATTATTTTGGGCCCGAATTTATTCTATTCTTTATCTATTTCTTCTGCTTATTATGCACATAAGCGTTATCCATAGTTACACGGCTAAAAAGTCTGCATGTTTTTGAACCGAACCCAGATTTAACGAGATTCTTCTTTTTTTGTACGCTTTGGCCAATATTGAGATATTTAAGAACTTTTGTATGTTTAAAAAAAAACGTAAACCATAATAATGGATGAGTTTACATATAATATTCAGTGCCTTAAATATTCGATTTATCCCAACTCAATGGTCTAAGAAAATACAATTGCCTGTAACTGCTTTGTGACTACAGAAACTAGCCTTCTCGATCGGTTTTCATCTTTGGAAAATTTACCTTTTTGAAAACTACCAATTTCATTTTTTTTAATCGTATACAACAAACTTTCATATTATTTTTTTGAATATTCTAGGGAATTATTTTTGATGGAATAGAACGTTTCTTTCGTATTTTAACGATTCAAAAGATGTTTCTCTAGGATCAGAGGCTTTTCAGTTTTTTTAAAACCTTTTTTTTTTTTACTTCTGACTTCTGAATTCTTATTAAATATTTCATTATATTGTAATATGGTTGCTATATTTTCACTGTCTCTAAATTTAGCTCTAGTGCCTGTTACATTACAATAAATTTTATTTTATTTACATTACAATAATTTTATATTAATGTATTTACTGTATACTGTAGGATAGTATGTAGCGTGTTTGCTACCTCTTCGTATATTTCGTAATCTTAGGTAATAATTTCTCATATTTGTTTGTTAGTTTGAATTTTATTTAATCATATTTGTACTTCGCCAATTACTGGATTGTGGTCAGGCCTAGCCGATAGCTACAATTTGACAATGAAGTTTGTCACATGTACTGCACGTATCATCTCGTGGTTTATGGTAAGGCCACATATTTAATGAACATAGACCTTTAAGACTTATAGGTGACTGTTAAACCTCGGCACATTTACAAAAAAACGTTTCTTCCGTATTTTAACGATTCAAACGGTGTTTATTTAGGACCAGAGGCTTTAAAGTTTTTTTAAAACCTTTCAATGTTTTTTACTTCTGACATGTATTCTTATTAAATATCCCATTAGATTATAATATGGTTGCTATATTTTCACTGTCTGTAAATTTAGCTCTAGTGCCTGTTACATTACAATAAATTTTTAACCGCATCGACTAATGTATTTACTGTATACTCTAGGTTATTATGTAGCGTATTTGCTACCCCTTCGTATATTTCGTAATCTTAGGTAATGTTTTCTCATATTTGTTTGTCAGTTTGACTTTTATTTAATCATATTTCTACTTCGCCATTCACTGGATTGTGGTTAGGCCTACCCGATAGCTACAATAGCAGTTAACTGCTATTGTATATAATAAACATCGCTCTAAGTATGGTACTCACTTTATATCAACCTCGTAAATACCCCGGTAATGATAATCATTAAATAGCCTCAAATACATGATTAGTTTAAAATACATAGTAAAAACATAGAATCATAGAACGGATTGACATATAAGTACCTTATAGCTACCCTAAATAACAAATAGCATTGTTATAGCAGTAGCATAGTAAAGAGAAGAATAATAATGGATACAACAACCTTCGATAAATCTAATAACTAACTACTGCGGCGCAAATTTTCTTTAAACCATCCAATATAGATCTTAAACTGGTACATTATGGTCTATTCTAATGTATTCAAACCTCGTTACTTACAGTTACATGTTTAAATCGTATTGAAGTTAGTGAAACATGCTGTCTTAGAAAATAATCCCGTAATTGCTTCATCCATAGATAGACTTTGTTTGGAGTTTTCTTGTTTTTTTTAAGCTACTTATTTAATCTTAAAGAGCTGTTTGTAGAACATTTGGTGTTCTAAAGATTGTAGATATGGAATCATGTTACGAAAGGAGATCTTTTTATTTTCTGATAGTTTACTCTCTGGTGTCAGTTTGACTACATCAGCTTGTCTAAGTCTGGGTAAATTTATTTCATTCTTTTAGATATTAACCTATACCGGTTATTAAGGATCAAAAACGAAGTTTTTATTATTGCTGATAATTAGCTTTGCAATGTTATTGTCCTTATTTGCTACCAACATCCATAACTTGTCATGTCAATGAAATTAAATTGTGTAGACTATCTAACGGACTTAAGTACATTGAGATCTAAAGATACATAAGCTGTAATAAACACCTTCCTTTTTCGATGAATGCCCAGTTTCAGTTACAGGATACAAATCTGTGATTTAGAAGAAACTTTTGCTAAATAGTTTTAAAAAAAGCCGTTAGCTACCAAAAACACTAATGTTAATAGTAAAATACTTTTTTTATTCTATCTCCTGCAGTTATTATACCATATTATCAAGAGTTTCATAAGAGTCAGAACATGATTGCCTCAACATAAATTAGCAAGATACCTGTAAGAGACAGGACATTGCTAGAGGTCAATAATTAAACAAACATGACCTGCTGGAGATCCAGAGATAAACAAAACTTTTTGTTTACGGAATCTAGAGAGTTGATAAAATCTTGCTTTAACAACGCTGTAGCCCTCTTGGTCGGACGATGATGAAGCTCTAATTAAGCTGTGGCAAATGCACTTGGCCTATCCTTCATGACAATCATGCTAATCTACCCAAAATTATCTTAAAAGATTTTCATATATACCCGGACAACTAATATATTGCCATTTAGACTTAAATAACTTATTGCTGCATGGCGTTAGCTATCATCTACATCCTCATGCGGCCAATGTTGACTTTTTCGAGAGCCACAAATTATACTTAAATTATTGCTATTACCGTTAAAAAGGTACCTTGCGATTTGGCATCTCCTTGATAGAACTTTTCAAAAAGAGAATGTCTTTTCTCGTACGTAATATCTTTACAGTTGAACTTGCATCTGCATGCGACCTGCAAAAAATACACAAGTTTATAATAAAAAATCATTGCTTTTGTTTAAATCTTGATAGTTGGAAGTTTTTTAAAATACCTTACTAAGTTTATATGTTTTTATACGATGCTCCAACTAGTTTTAAACATTTCTGCTCGCTGCCAAATGAAGCACTGTCTTTAGGTCTTCTTTTTTCTGATTTATTTTCAGTAGTAATATCCCTAGGACATTGATAATAGACGAGATAATTTCATGACAATCGAAAGCTCATTGTTACCAAGCAACGAGCTTGAGAAATTTGTCATGAAATTATGAGGCATTCATCAATGTCCGAAAGATATTCGGCGGATAATTGTTCGAAAAACAAAAAATCATAACTCAACATAACGAAACATTTATTTATTAAAAGTACAGTAAGTGAAAGTACAATTATTTAAATTTAAGTTAACATTAGATTCATTGCTGTTCTCTACTATAGAAGATCTATTACCACGCATAATATTTATAATCTTGTTGTGGTGTTCTTGATCGAGATTCAAGTAGGGTTTTATAGAAACCAGACATTTTGAAATTTATTTGGATGAAGTTGTCAAACTTGATCGTGTCATCATAGGGATTGAAAATTGCACTAAATGCAATTATCAGTCTAATGTTGACATGATTGGGTAAAATTGTTCCACATGACACAAATGACGAAATTTGAATGGTTGTTAGAACAGTCGAAAAATGATCATATTAATACACTAAAATTCTACAATTATCTACTATTACAACAAAAATACATAGCTGATACATGCAGATGTCTAGATACAGCGATGTCGAAACCGTTGGACTTACAAACCTTCTAAAAAAATGGTGCCGTGTATACAGCCACCGACATCTATAAGATGCTCCTGAAACTGTTATTTTATTGCTGACACTAAGAATTTTTTTTAGGTTTCACTCTTCAATCGGTCACTATAAATTATTTTTTTGTTATTTGTTCTATGCCGTTGAAATATTAACGTTTAAAACTTGAAATTGGTATAACTAATATACATGTATGTAATATTAATTAATTGTTTGTTGAAGAAGTGACATATTGATTAACACTTTGATTTTCATTGTATTACACATGTTTCTGTTTTGTTTTAGTAAAACCCAATAAAGTAAAAATAGTGAGTCCCAACGATTTGCTGTCCATCAGTAAGTCACAAAACGTAAGATGCGAGACTTCCGGTTCTTATCCACCTGCCAAACTAACATGGCTACTTGATGGAAGGGCCATTAGGAACGCTGTTGTTACTGTAAGTGAGTTACAACGTGTTACACTAGCCGAGTTTCTAACTAATTTTAGGTGCAATATCAGCACTCTAACTATTAGCCTCGTTTTGCGCTTTCTAAACCAGTGGCGGTAACACAAAAGAATTTTATAACGCTATAAATAACTATTTACAATTATGTTTTATACTAACGTCTATTTTGTTATTAAAGTTATATTATTATTTAAACCAGGTTTCTCATTATATTTTGACCCCCACTTATTTTCCCTAATTTCGGGAATACAAAATAAAAGTTTCAAATAAAAGTTGTATTCTTTTATCTATACTTACCAACAATGTAGCAAACAGACCAAATTTTGTATACAAGGAGTGCCTTATAAAATGCATCTTCAATATTTCAAATGTGATACCCTGTATTTTTTTATAGTTTTTAGTAGCCCTGCATTTCCTGATTACCAATATATAACAATGTGTAGCGTAAGTTTTGTTCTATATTGGCATATGGTACTACAAAAGAGTAGGTGACTATGCAACTGACATTTCAAAATGCAACAATTATTAATTTATTATAAACTGCCAGTCCTCATACCGAAATGGGTTATACTGCAGATGAAAAAGTAGATATATTCTCAATTTATGTAAAAATTATAAAAAAAAGTAAGCGACAAGAAGAGATCATAGGCTAATTTATCCAGATCGACAGACTCCTTCTGCAAATACATTTTTATACAATTATCGTCATGTCATAAATAAAAAAATGTTTGAAGGGAAGAAACGTACCATCGTAGGAAATGATGATGAAGATCTTAATACTTTGCTTTACTTTGAAGGTAAAAATTAAATACTTAAATAATAGATTAAATCCATAATAACATTTTTATTTTAGAAAATTCCGAAACTAGTCTAAACACAGCCCAAAGCACAACTATAAGCCGTACACAATATTACCGGTACAAGATATTACCGATGTTTTTTAAAGAAAGCGTTAACAGTTCTGTCAAGACATGCTTACAAATTTGAACAATGATCCTAATTATTTTTATATCATTTTATGAACAGATGCATCAAATTTTTCAACTTCATAGATTTTTAATAGAAGAAGTAGGTATTCGTGGAAACAGAAAAACATAGATTATTTTATTATTAAGGCAATATTATCTTATTGTTACATTAAAAAGATCAGGAAGAAAATCAATACATGTGTGGTGCGGAATATTTCAAAACAAAATAGTTGGACCATTGCTTTATGATTATAAATTAACTAGGGAATCGTATTTTGACACAGTCATTACAGAAGTGGATAAGTTATTAAATTAAAATTATGCACAAAATCAATTAAATAGTATGATTATGGCAACAAGATGGAGCACCGCCACATAATGTCGTAGCCGTTTAAGAACATTTAAATAATCAATGTAATGTGTGGATCGGCAATAATGGTACCATTACATGGCCACCAAATAGTCCCGACTTAACACTATGTGATAACTTTTAATAGGGGTTTTTAAAAGATAAAGTGTATTTTGATTCAAATACAAATATTAACACTATCACAGCAAAAAGAGAAAATCTTGAAAACATTGTGTAAAAATTGAAAATTTAAATGTAATAAGAACACAATATCTGACCCATTAGAAAATTTGAGACGAAGATATTACTTGTGCATTGATAACAATGGAGGGCGCTTTAAGCATATATTGTAATCTTAAATGTAGTATTGTAAGTTATTAATTTTGTTTATTGTAAATATTGTAAATATATTTTTTTAGTAGTACCATACGCAATTATAAGACAAAAATGATTCTACACTATGTTATATATTTGTAATAAGGAAATGCAGGGCGACTCAAAACTATAAAAAATACAGTGTGTCCCATTTGAAATATTGAAGATGCATTTTATTAGGCACTCCCTGTATACAAAATTTGGTCTGTTGCTACACTGTTGGTCGGTAGAGATAAAATAATACAACTTTTATTTGAAACTTCTTTTTGTATTTCCGAAATTAAGGAAAATAAGTGGGGGGTCAAACCATGTACATACAGTTCCAATGTTTAAGGTTTTCATTAGCTTGCTGAATAATATCTATAAATTGTTTATATACAATTACCTTGCAATTTTTTGTTTACATAGTAGCAAATTACTATGATATTATTACTTGTTGGAGAAAGATGAAAATATAATATACAAGATGGTAAAGAGGAAAGCAAAGTACGCTGTAGCTACTGCTAAGGCAAGATTATCTGCATAGTTGTATAGAGAGTTGGAAACACCCGAGGGGATAAAAAGGTTACACGGCATTGCTAAAGCGAGGAACAAGTCATAAAAGGACTTGTGCTACGTGCGGCAGATAAAAAGTGCGGATGGAATAGTGTTAAAAACTGATGTTGAAATCGCAAAAGAGGAAAGACGCAGGATGCGGGATCCAAAATAAGAATGCATCCCCGTATTTTCGGGGATAGCGAGGGATGAAGTTGTCGAAGCATTAAATGGGACGAAGAACGGTAAAACAGTAGGACCTAATGAAATGCCTGTGGAGGTTTAGAAGACTGTAGGAGAGGAAGAGGTTGATATTTTGTGACAAATGATAAGTGGAATATATCTAGTCTAAGTGGAATATATAAGAAAAAACGGATGCCAATGCATGAAGAGAAAGATCATTGTACAAATATGAAGGAGACATTTAGAACTATAGTAAATTTAAGAGCATCGATAGGAAACAAACAGTTATAGTTTATCCAACGAAGAGTGACGATTAACACCTTGTTTGTGTTGAGACAATTATAGAGAAATACAACGAAAAGAGAGGTATATTTAATATTTATAAATCTTGTGAAGTCATACGATACAGTTTCAAGACAACAGCTATGAAGGTGATAGAGAGAGAAAGAGAGAGAGAGCGTACATCAAAGTAAAAACTGCTGTTATATTAACCGAAGGTTTTGAAAGACTAGAAGCTACAGGACTTGAAACGACTGCATTGGGGAAAGAGCCGGGGTGACTACAGTTTTAAAAAATATTAAAGACCAAAGACTGCAATGGTTTGGCCATGTCACACGTAGAGATAAAAACTATGTGGGACAAAAGATAGAGCTGGTAGAAGTTTATGGAAGAAGAAGTAGAAGAAATCCGAGGAGAAAATGAAAGGACTTTGTCACAAAGGACTTCACACTAGAAGCGGCTGACGTTTCTGCCAGTTCTATAAGCACAAACGGGTCATTTTTGACCCGTATGATCTAAGTCGAAACTGTAGAAGAAAACTTAAAACAAAATATATATTTATTTGATAATTAATAATAGTAATAAACAAAGTAAAAATCCAATACATAACATTACTAGATAGTGCTCTTACCTACATAATGAATATACGAAATATTGTGTGGAAGTGCATTTCTTCAGACTGTTTTTTACACTCGCGGCATTTTAAAAATGATTTGTTTCCAGATCACTCTGGTTCGATTTTACAACGTGTTCGCTTTTTTTGAGGTTCATCGATTTCATCTGGGATGGCAGTTCATCTGACAACAGCTCTATTCCCTGCGTATTTTTCTGAGAGTTTTTCTCCTAGAGTTGGAATATAATTTCTACGACTTACTTGCGAATTATATAAGATCCAGGCATTCATTCCAGCTAAGTCTAGTTAGTAAAATGTGTGAAGTGGCCAACGCCTAGACGATTCGTTCACTGAATACTTGCGTGCTATTTGATCCACTACATCAATACTATATTTCGTCTCATTCTAAAATTTAATAGTATCAGGTTTCTTTTTCTCAATAGATGCAATTTGTACATCCGAGTGGATTGTACTAAGCATAACCACATTTTTGTTGCTTTTGACCTGATAAATGGTTAATGAAATATCACCTATCTTTAGAAGTACTGTACTGTATAAATTTTCTCTCGCTCACTTTACACAAGACGGGATTTTACGTCGGGCTTTATTTATAGTACCAAGAAGACTAGTACTATTCGCTTTTAAAAATTTAGCCAGTGATAGTGACGTGAAGAAATTGTCACACCTAACATTTCTTACTTTTTTTAAATATGGATGCATCAACGTTTTTACCACATTAATACCGAGGCACTCGTTATTTGATCTCGTTTCGTCTTTCCCTAAATACTAAAAGGCGTTAACAATGCAGTTTGTGTCTTTGTCGACGACCATCCAAAATGTTTGACCATATTTATCGGACTTTGAGGCAATAAACTGAGTAAACCTACACCTACATTTCGATGGAAACCGTTAGTCGCCGACAGTGATGTATGGGTTATAGATTATATCGCTGCACCAATCAGGTTTAGAAACTCCATCAAAGCCGTAAAAATTTACCCGGTTGCGGACGTAGCATCAGACCACAATCCGGTGGTATGTAAGTTTGAAGTAAAGTTAAAAAAGCCAAATGTAAAGAACAGGCCCGAAACGCGAAATATTAGGAAGCTTTTAACAATAATATTGAACAACAGATGCAGGAGAATTTAAATACCGAAATATCAAAAATCCTTAAAAAAAACAATAAACCGCTGGAAAAGTGGAGTGAAATTAAAGAAGAGATTAGGACTTCAAGCACCAAGTTTTTACTACCTGATAAGAGAAAAAAGAAAGACTGGATGACTGTAGAAATCCTTGACATGATGGAAGAGAGACGGATATATAAAACTAAAGATACTGCCAAATACCGTGAAACCCATAGACGAATAAGAGCTGACATTAGAAAAACTAAAGAGAAATGGTTCTCGGAGAGATGCGAAGAAATCAAACAGTGCGAAAAAGTATACGACTGCACTATCACAATATGCATAAGAAGATAAAGGAACTCACAACAATGAAAAAGAAAGCTACAATATTTTATCGAAAGGGCTGTGCGATGACAATGGAAATCTACAACAAGACCCCGACAAAATAGTTAGAATCTGGGAAACTTATGTGGAACAACTGTTTAATGATGACTGTCCTAGTGGGTGTACACTGAGCAATAATTATACTGGCCCTTCTATTCTAAAATCAGAAGTGGAGAATGCTATAAAGGGTCTTAAACATAACAAAAGACCAGGCAACGATAACGTATACGGGGAAGTATTAAAAATGCTGTGCGAAACAAAC